GAGAAGAGAAGAGAAGAGAAGAGAAGAGAAGAGAAGAGAAGAGAAGAGAAGAGGAGAATTTTGGCTCCCCCATTTCCATACCTCAATGGCTTTGTAGAAGATGCTGTTCCCAATCTGGACCACCTCCAGATTCTGCTCCTGTTCATTCCGGGCACACTTGATGTAGGTCATCCAGCTGCGGTGGTCCTCCTGACTCGCGTCAATGAAATACCGAACAGTCCCATCTTCATTGAAGACCTGAGGTTAAGAAGCCCAGTGGTTAATCCTGGTTTTTCTTTTTCTTTTATATTAAACCGTCTTCAATATGTCATACTTGATTGATTAGCCATTAGGCCATATCAGAGTACAAAATACAGAACAGTAACAAGACCGTAGGTTAAAAAACAGAGTGAGACGTAAGGAAAAGAGAATAGCGATCATATTTCTGTGTCGCCCCAATCAGATCCACCCAGGCCATCCTCAATTGTACTGTTTTGTTCAAATAAAAGGCTGAATTATATAGAATTTTTTGGATTCTGACCACAGATGAAATGTGTTGTTTTAATATAAGGATCCCTACAGGCCGTTCATCTCATGTGCCATTCAAGATACGGATCTCTCGCTTCCTTATACAATTGATGTTCAAATAAAACATGCATTTTGTCCTCTATCTCTGGGGCTCTGCAAATTCAAGTACGCAGCTTCAGTATGTGAATGGAGGCCCCTCATTCATCCTCTTCTTCCATTAAAGATAAAAGATTAGGGAGTCTAAAATCACATCTGCTGTGGATGCTCGGTCACCTCCTCCTCTTTCTTCTCCTTCTACAAATCAGATCACCAGCAAGGTAGAACTTTTATTTTAATATCCTTTTTTCCTCCCCTCTCCAAGCCAACATTGTATTATGGCCTATCTGGCCCCACGGAGAACCCTTCAGTGGCAAAAATTTACAAGGGGAATCTGTGTGCCATCCTGTTATTTATTTATTCGTAAGATTTGTATGGTCCCCCCGTTTTAAACACAACTCTGGGTGGCTCACGACGACGATAAAACCCAGTAACTATAAAATCAAAAACCCTAAAACCAGAAAATAAGCAATTAAAAAAAAAAC